GGCCTTGGTAGGGAGTTAAAAAGTGGAGTAGTGGACCATCTCAGTTAACTACGTAGTGATCTCCTAATTTATGAAGAGTACTTGCATTTATGAAGTAGAGTTGTTTTTTCTTTCAATGAAGTATGAAGTAATAGGATATCCACATTCAATGAAGTGCTCGATTGATTCCACAGTAAGATTATTTTTTCTCTTTATTTTTTTTGTAGTTTATTTAAATCCTCGACACTTTGATAACATAAATTTCCAAGCTCTCAATTAATTTAGCCGAACATCAAAGTATTCATAAAGAAATGCTTGAATTGAAGGTCCGTCTGTAATATGATGGATGGACAGAACAATCAGTCCACAAAATGATACGATATGGCCAGTCAAATAGAATCTGACGGCGGCGGTCTAAATTTACCGCCAGTGTCGCCTAATTTTCTAGTGAATATTGCTTATTCTGATTAGTATGTGCTCACACATCTTTTCAAATGAACTCCAGCTAGTAATTGGGAGGAAGGGGCTTATTAGAAATTTCGGATCATCCAAGATTCCGAGGGAGAATATTGAACTCGATTTCATGGGAATAGGGGAGGAGTCGCTGTAATTCGAACCAGAAGGGCTTCGGTGATGACAAGCACTATCAGGCGACGAACTCTCTGGCGGCGATGAATGTCGGTAAACTTAGTTGCAGTTAGGAGGCCTACTTAAGGTGATTCGATTTCCTCTGGGATCTGGCGCATCTTTTCCGTGGTTGACCTACAAAAGTATCTAGCGCCTCTTTTTCATGGATAAAGGAAGGGTATTTTGTCCCTTAACATAAAATTAGTAAAAATAACAATTGGCCCAGTGGTGAAAGTGATCCGTGTGTGTGGTAGCTTATCCCCAGGTTTAGGGTTCGAATCCTGGATCTCCTTTTCTCTTTTACGAGGTAAATTTTTATCGGTGGGTGTAACTCAATTGGTAGCGAGAGAGTGTCATAAGGGTTAGGTCCCGGGTTCGAATCCCGTCAACTGCGATGAGAGGTTACTATGCTAAAAATGCATAGGGCCTCAACAAATACCGGGGACGGAGCCCCACTCTTTATCTGTCAGATTGTGATTATAGTACAATTTACATCCTCCCATCGTTGGAGGGGCCCTCAGGGATGGGGTGTCATCCTTATAAAATTAGTCCTATGCATGGGAATTAAAAAATGTAGGGTCCTATTCACTTCCCCTGTTTTAGCCCTATTTGTGTATTTCTCTCTCGTTCATACCTAGCTTCTATGAGTTCACTCACTTGTTTCCCCGTCTTCTGGGTAAGTTCATCTGTTTATCCACATTGTAACTTGTAAGGTCGATTGAATTGTCTTCTTCTCTGCGCCCTGTTCTGCATTTGCATCTCTCGCAGTCGCGCCTTCTCGGCATTTGCTCAAAGTTGGAAAGTAAATTCTGCCGTGTGTGTAGTTGCTTTGTGCCTCTGGGAACGCCACGCCGGAAGAGTAGTCACCATTCTCCACGGAATTGCTCCGAATCTCTTCATAGTTCCTTGTTCTACACCGGAATCGCCTGGTTGGTAGGTTGTCGGTCGTGTTGCCTGCCTGCATGGTGATGCTCAGACGTGTGTTTTGAAACAAAACCCATCGCTCAGGGCCGTTTTTTAGGGGGTTAATTAGGTTCTCCGGAACATGCCCCCAGATTTATGGGGCCCCGAATTTTAAAAATTTATTAGTATTATATATTATATATTAATAATAATCAGTAAAATACAATTAGTACGAAAGAAAAATATAGATTCGTCATTTTTTATTGGTCATTTAGTTCATATTTACTCAAATTGCTTCAATAATGAGGTGTGTTACTTTAAATAAAAAATTAAGTATGTTTTAGATAAAAAAAAATTATTACATTGTTAAATAAGTATTCAATTGATTTAAGTATAAGTATTTGAATTGAGTTTTTTTAATTTTTTATATGAAAGTGGGACTCCAATTTTACATTTGGAACGGAGGCCTCCAAGCTTCCCGTTGTCTTCCAAGCTTCCCGTTGTCTTACCCCAAATCTATAGCCGAACCGGTGATGAAGACATTAGCCTGTCGGCTGTCGGAAAACACCTACATATGTGCCGCTCAATAAGCTCTCATCCATACGAGTTACAGATTGTACACAATACACATACATCCAAGCATTTCTAATGCTACCCACGTGGCTATCTAAGGCTTTGTTTGAGAAAATAAGTGTTTTTTTCTTAAAAAAGCCAAAAGCACTTAAATTAGTTGTTTGCAAACAAAGCCTAAGAATCGGAAGGTGTTGAACTGCATCTACTTTCTTTTGAATACGTATTACTTTTCACTTTTGAGATTTGTTATCTTATTTATTAGGAAAAGGGCAAAGTGGTAAATGTTGTATGTTTTCTTAATTCTTGTGTCGATCAAAATTTTCAATTCAATTGGGAGAGAGGTAAGAATATTTTAAATGGGTCGGGTTTACACCCGGACCCGACCCGGACCCGGTTATTTTTAACGGGTATGTGTCTATATTTTATTCCGTTTACCCGGATCCGGACCCGGATCCAGACCCGTTAGTATATTTAATAAACGGGGCGGGTATGGTAATATGATTCTGACCCGTTAAGGATCCGGACCCGTTTAAAATTTCTTATTTGTATACCAACACAGTAATACATAAAGTGGTTATTTATAACACTTCAGGTAAAAAATTACAAACTAATGTATACACACACATATATACATAATAATACATAAAATTATTAGTTGTAATTCTTCAATCGAAAATACACACACTAATACATACCCATTATATAAGTGATACTGATCGAGATAGTGTGATAGCATTAAATTAATACCCGTTTTGGCCGTTTATTCTCATTATGATAAATGTGTATTGGGCTTGGTTAGCAACACACAATATTCATTATTATAATAATAATTATTATTATTATAATAATAATTATTAATATTATTATATCATTATCATACACTATGTTTTTATATTCTCAATAGTCCAAGACATCTTTTATGACTTCATTTGAAGTTTATTCTACGAGCTCTATGTACGAGAAAAAGCGACACAGAGTGTGGAGTTATACGCAAGAACCAATACTTTATTGGATAAAAGTAATAATATGAGAAACCTTGATTGTTTTTTGAAAAAGTGAAGATATATTTTGCTTTTTAGTTTACGCACTTTTCTTTATATTGCATATAGAGGTCTTGTTATTTTCAAAAAATTTATAACGGTATCATACTTGACGGGTCTACCCGACCTGGTTCCGAGACCCGTTGGGTACGGGTCTGGGTCCAAATTTTCAGACCTACCGGGTAAACGGGTCGGGTCTGAATCCATTATTAACTTAGCGGGTCTGGGTCTGGAACACTACGTTCCGGCCCGGACCCAACCCATTGACAGGCCTACAAGGGAGTGAAGAAGCAACGGTGGAAGCAATTCCACTACGAGTTGGTTTGCAACTCCTTTTATAAAAGCACTTCTCAGCTTTTGGCTTTAAAAAAGCACTTATTTTCTCAAACACTACAACTTTTATTTTTCTCAGCTTCCGCGTCAAAAGTGATTTTACTTTTTCTATTACACAAAAAGCACTTATTTTACCAAACACTACCCACTTTTACTTTTCAAAATCACTTTTTTCTCAAACACTATCAACTTTTATTTAATCATTTCTCTCCATTTCATTAAAAAAGCACTTTTTTAAAAGCAGAAACTGTTGCAAACAGACTTTACATTTGGTAAACATATGGATTATACTTTTTTTAATTGTTGATGAAAATTCATAAAAAATCATTTTACTGGACAAATATAAATTAAGAAATCTTCCTAAAGGAGAATATAGATGTTTTAGAATTTCAATATATGGCTACTATGTATTTTTAATCTCTCAATAAGAATAATTACGGTTAAACTTACAAAATATTGTCTTCAAAACCAGTGATGTTCAACCATAGCATTAATTATAGGGAATTAAAACATATTACTCGATTTTATTTTAAAATTTTGAATTTTTTTTACTCTGAGAAAATTTTCGAATTTAAATTTCAGAAAGGTGATGGAGATCACCAAAAAATATACTGTATAATTAAAAAGTCTTAACGTTTAAATTTATATCACCATTATATTATGTATATAAAGGTAAACAAAGGGAATTTTGGCTCACTGGTTAAGATGTTCCTGTGTGATCGAAAAGTTAAGAGTTCAAATCTTAATAGTGGCAATCTCTTATATTTTCATGCACCAGGCTTTTTTCCTAAAATATTATTAAGAAAAAAATCATGAACAAAAAATATGACTTACTAATTTTTAGGGATTATAATTGCTTTCAAAGTTTTTTTTATCATAGTCATTATATCATAGTAAATTTGAACACAATTATAATAACTAAAAATTATTAAGTCACATTTTTGTCACCAATGTTTTAAAAGTAATATTAGTGGGATTTTTTTTGATAAAATAATACCACTGTACGAATTGCATTTTATATATGAATACATACTCTCGTATTTGTAACTTTATTTCATTCTTAATTCAAATAAATTAATACGAGTACATATACACAACCGATAACACGACTTAGGGAGTGTTTGCAACTGCTTCTACTTAAAAAAGGCAATTTTGGAGATTAGAAAAAAGTGATTAGTAGTAAAAATTGATAATGTTTGAGAAAAAAGTGATTTTGAAAAGTAAAAGTTGATAGTGTTTGGTAAAATAAGTGCTTTTTGTATAATAGAAAAGAGAAAAGCAATTTTCACACGCAAGCCGAGAAAAAGTAAAAAATGATAGTTATTAATGTTTCACACCGGAAAAATATTTGGATGAACAAAGTGTTATATTAATACATAGACTACTCCTCTTATCAGGTTGACCTTTTAGGATCAAACCCCGTATCTTAACAGTAGTTTTGGAAAATAAGTAATTTTTTAAGCCAAAAGTTGAGAAATGCTTTTTTTAATCGGTTGCAAACAGTCTCTTAATTGTGGTAGTAAGTTTTGCCTAATTCAACTCTAGGCAGGTGAGCTGCCTCCAAGACCACCTGCGGCGCTAGAAATCGAGGACACACTGAGGGAGACAACCCCACTAACTCGGGTAACCGTATGTTCTGTGCTTTTCTTTGAAATGTTGATGAAAATGCATAATTAACAAGTCGAAATTGAGAGTTCATTTACTAGTTTACACGTTAAATATTTTCATACGAAATGATTGTCACTAAAATTTAGGGAAACTGTATTTCATATGTAAAATAGTTTATATTGTTTAGTTATGTGTAAATTACACGTAAAGCCGTTATAGTGCTATATAAATAATATGCAAAGTATTTTATCATTGTTTCCTGATGTAAAATACTTGACGTGATATAGTGGGGAATGTTTTTAAAATTTGTCATATAGTTTACGTTAAATAATTAAGTATCACGTTGTAATTTTTTACGTGCCTACATTTTTTTTGCATCTTAAATAGAGATCGAGTTGGTTAAATCTTTTTAAGGTTTTATTTCATTTACACATAGTAACATTCTACCTTAATTTTAGGATGATGAAATTGATTCAACCATACGATTGCGGAATGCTAGAAGACTTTATATATTTACTCTTCATTTATTCTTTGCTTTATTGTTCTTGTTTACGACTGCAATAGCAAAATATTTCTCCGAACACACCCCTACCGTTTGGAGCTTTTCTGTGGCTCTTATCTTTTATGTTTTTTATTTTATGGCAATATATGAGTATGTATGGCTAGATTATTAATATTTAAGAATGGTTTGTAAGAATTTATTTCAATTTTATTTTAGGATGATGACGTAACAAGCGAAAGGATGATTGCCACTCGAAATTTACCGACAATATTATTGTTTTGTTATTTAATATCTCCTACCGTTGTGTTAATTGTGTGTTTGATTTTCAAAGTCCAAGACATATCTTGGCGTATTATTATTGCGGGTTGTTGTGAGTATATTGGACTTATTCTGTTTGTCGTATGTTTGACATGTTTGTATATAAAGAAATTGAGGACATAAATGTTAAAGCGTATATTTACATCATTTGTTGGTGTATATATATAGTTGAAAAACGATTTTACAATTTAATAATATAGTCATTTTGGATTTAAAAATATGTAATAAGGGACTCACATCTCTATTTTAATAGGACTATGTCTTAACATATTATAATTCGTGCCTTGAGATGAACACTTGCATATATTACTTGTAGAAAATTAGTTTGAAATGAATGATAAATTTTCCTCATGAAAGATAAGCGTGGAATTAAATCTCACATGCGCGCAAGGCCGCATCTATCTAGTCGGCCGGGTGCATGGGATTTGAGGTTCGGGTTTTGATCTTTCTGTCTAGAAATTGATTTATATTTTTGTTCCTTTATTTTTTGGAAAAACTTTTGGCATAATAGATATATCTATTCTTTTTGGAGAAAAGATCACAACCTCTCTTTTATGAGGTGTCTTTTGGTATACAACATGTTATGACTCCTTTCCAGCTCATGTCTCCATGGTTAACATCCACAAAGGATGAAATCCACCACTAGGATCTCAAGGGAGGAATTGGGCAACAACCAACGAACCTATTTCCGGCCAATTCGTCCGGTGAACAACCTCACAGAGGCGAAGGTCATATTTCAAATGAAGAGAGGTTTCGGCCCGCCTTCCCATCGGCAGAGAGGATCGATATTAATAGGTGAATCAATAGAGAATGGATGGAAGTTACCATACAAAGAGATTGTGCAAACACATACAAGGGGATCTGTCGATGAACCAAGCAAGGGAAGGCGGAAGTATTAATCGCAAAGGGAGAATGCCGATCCCGGAAAGAATAGAACCAATGGGCTGGGTATGAAGATGGTTGAAATGGGCTTGGGGAAATAGTAGGCCAATACGAACAAACTCTCCACCTTATTAGACCTTAATTAGTCGTGTAGAGCACAACGTTCTAAAACAATTTGAGACTCATCATCGCGATCGCTGGATTGCCCGAATGATCTCAAAGACACATTCAGGCAAAAAGGGGTAAGATCACCCGAGAACTTATCCGCAATCAATGTTTAACGTGCGTTTGCACAACAACAACTTTTCAACAGAGAGACATTTAGGGAGTGTTTGCAACTGCTTCTGCTTAAATAAAAGCACTTTTGGAGATGAAAGGAAAAAGTGATTAGTAGGAAAAGTTGATAGTGTTTGAGAAAAAAGTGATTTTGAAAAGTAAAAGTTGATAGTGTTTGGTAAAATAAGTGCTTTTTGTGTAATAGAAAGGGGAAAAACACTTTTCACACGCAAGCCGAGAAAAAGTTAAAATTGGTAGTGTTTGGTAAATAAGTGCTTTTTTAAGCCAAAAGTTGAGAAGTGCTTTTTTTTAAGTGATTGCAAACACTCCCTTAGTCCCCATGTCAGCAGGATTAAATTCCGATGGAATTTTAATCAAATTGATATGACCTGCTGTTACTACCCAATTTTAGTAGATTTTGATGATACCACTATACTAAACTCATCATTGATTCGTACTTCTGTTCTTTGTTACAAAGATCAGAAGTTGATTGATGTACTAAGAGGAAAAGAGTATACTACTCAAAAGTGACAAATTAATACTAGGGGTTAGGTCACTACTATTACTAATTATAAGAGATTGGACAAATATAAAACTTTTCCCTAATTCTTCCATAAAAGAGATTACCGTGTTACCATTTAGTAAGTTATAGGATCAAATTATCAAAAATACCCTCCCCACTTAATACGGAGTACTCTATCTACAATACGAGTAATAACTAACTAAATACTCCGTACTACGGAGTACTGCTACAGGAGTACGTCTGTACTACGTGTAAAATCATAATGTATACATAGGGACGGGAAAAACCGAACCAAAACCCAAAAACCGACCCTTTACCGACCCGAATTATGATCCCGGTCCGGGTTTTTTCTTTTTAACCGGCCCGAATTAAAAAAAACCCGGACCGAACTGAAAATTCCGGGCTCATTAACGGGCCTTAAAATCTATAACCCGGCCCGGACCGAAAAAAACCCGAAACAATTAGTTTTAATATAAAATTAATATAGTATCTGAATATAAATAAAATATTTCCTAATATATGATTATAATCACGGTGGATAAACAAGATTTAGTAACTTTTAGTGACTACAAATATGTTGAATTTGTTTAGCGTAATGATGACCATGAGAATATATTTATAATATAGCAACTCTAGTAACTTTTTTTATAAAATTTATTTTCGTAATATTTTTAAGAAACCTATATTATTTATATATATACATCTTACATAAAATATTAAGATAATTATCTTATTCAAATTTGAATTGTTGGTGATTTTGGAGACTAATATTTGTGTTATTATTTGCAGTTTGTATTTTTGATTAATTTTATTTGAAATAAGTGTTAAAATATAAAAGAACAATGACATATTTCACGTCTGGGCTTTAACCGCTCCAACCCGAACCCGGGCTACCAAAAACCCGACTCGGACCGAATATAATGGGCTTTGTTCCGGTCCCTAATTTTCATAACCCGAGACCTTCCGGGTAATTTCCGAGTTTAGCAAAAACCCGACCCAGACCGGACCGATCCCACCCCTATGTATACATATTCCCATTGCCATTTCCCAGCTCCTCAAAATTTTACAGCCATTTTCAAGATGAAAAAAGTTTTATGAGTTTTTATGTTCGGAATTATGGTTATCCGGTTATACGTCCAAGTACTTATAGATATCCGCCCGTCTAGTTATAGTTACCCGACACATGTTATAGTTATCCGTCGTCAATTATAATTAGTCAACCAGTTATAATTACCCGACACTTTAGTTACAGTTATCCGATCCGATCAATTACAATTATCCGACCCGTCCAGTTGTAGTTACCCGACCCGTCTAGTTACAAATTCTCGATGCGTCCAGTTACAGTTACCCGACTCGCCCAATTATAGTTATCCCGCCGGTTCAGTTACCCGACCCGTCCAGTTACAGTTACCTGACCCGTTCAGTTACAATTATCAGACTCGTCCGGTTACAGTTATCTTATTCGTCCAGTTACCAGTTACCTTACCCGTTAAGTTACAATTACCCGACCCATTCAGTTACATTTACTTCATCACAGTGACAAGTTGACACGGTGACTCCGGCTCAGTGATCAATATCCATCCATTTAGTGACCAACGCTCACTCATCCCGTGAACAACGGCCGCCCGTCTAGTGACCAACGTCCGCCTGTCCAGTGACACTACACACGCATAGTTGCACACAAAGCCAAAAAGAGAATAGTACATGAAGGCCTAAGGTACGGGTTCGCATATTGTGAAGATAAACCTTGCAAATGGATCCTATTGCAGCTCTGAGAAGATAAACTGCTCTAACACAGCAAGACGAAAGTACAATACTTTCGACGTCAAAGATTAAAACCTTTCAACCAACAGAGGAGATTAATCAAACGGAGATGCCTATAAATACAGGCATAAGCATGAGTTGAAAATCAAGCTTTTAAGAGTCTTCTAAGCAGAGAAATCATACTGAGCATTCAAAGAGATATTTAGCAAAAGATGAAGTGCTCGTTTAGCTTAGCTCTCTGCTTAGACTCATGCTTCACTAAACTCCCAAGATAGAACTCTCATTGCCATATTCAGGAAGTTGAGTTCTTAGTTGGAGGCTAGAATTTTTGTTATTTTACAAATTGTTGTAAACACTTAGAAGGACAGTGTTATCTAGTCCTAAGTGTGGATGAATATAATAGAGTACCTTTTGATCCCTACTAAATGTATTGGGTTTAATACATTAGTGGAAATGTAACACCCCGGCCCCGCAGGACCCGAGGTAGTTACTCCGGACTTCTAGTACTGTCCTCACAAACCACCACGAGCCTTTACCGCGCACTTTGTTCTCACTCATGCGCGCCCTGAGAAACTTCCCAGGGGGTCACCCATCCCAAGACTACTCCCGTGCAAGCACGCTTAACTTCGGAGTTCTTGGCTAATGAGCTCGCTTAAAAGGAGATGCACCTAGTTGGTATGAGTAGTACTATTAATCCGTTTATGTTAAATCTCAAGTGTTACAATCACCCCCCACTTAGGATCGCAACGTCCTCGTTGCGCCCTTAAACCAATCTCAATCACACCGCAGAATCTTTTCCCCTGCTAAGTGCCCGCCCAATATCCAACGGATCAACACACTGTCGCAGGGTTTCTTTGATACCATCTGTAACACCCCGGCCCCGCAGGACCCGAGGTAGTTACTCCGGACTTCTAGTACTGTCCTCACAAACCACCACGAGCCTTTACCGCGCACTTTGTCCTCACTCATGCGCGCCCTGAGAAACTTCCCAGGGTGTCACCCATCCCAAGACTACTCCCGTGCAAGCACGCTTAACTTCGGAGTTCTTGGCTAATGAGCTCCCTTAAAAGGAGATGCACCTTGTTGGTATGAGTAGTACTATTAATCCGTTTATATTAAATCTCAAGTGTTACAGGAAATCCATCTGAAAGAGGGTGAGATTGGACGTAAGAGGATTACACCACCTCTGAACCAGGATATATCATGTGTTGATTCATTTTCAGTCAACAAAGCACACACCAAACACCTCTTCAACTTAGCAGCAATCTGAGCGGTAACCTCAGCAGTAGTATACTGTCCACCCCACTGCTCACCTCTCTACTAAGCATACTGCTCGTCTATACACTTGTATAAAGACATCTCTTTGTTTTAGAAGTCTTTTACTCTCTTCATAAATATCCCAGTCCTAACAAAAGTCTCAAAGTTATATAAATTTCCTTCACAGTAGTCTCAGCAGTACTTTACACTTACCTCACCACTAAGTCCACTGCTTACCAATCTCCCAAGCCAACTGCTCTCATAAAAGAAGTTCAGAACTCACTCAAACACTGAACTTTAGTTCTTCTGAAACCATGAAACTTATCTAACTGTCTCTCAGACTTCTTCCTTGTCCTCTTACTAAACAGAAAGTTGTTATATACATTGCTTACATAGAGGTCAAGACTTCTGCTGTGTATCTTTAATCTCTCAAAAGGTTATTGATCTTCAT